GAAGCTTTGACATTTTGTTCGATGTACCTTCGAGATGTCAATCGCCTTGAAAGAAACGAAGACGTTGTCATTAAAAAAACAAAGTTTTGGATGTTTGAGTCCAAGTGTCGACCGACGAGTGCAACGCAAGTCATCGAAATATTTGGGATCTACCATCGGACAATGCTCGTGTCCAAAATGCTTACAGTGACTCTGTCCAATATGTCGACAATGTGGAGGCCGAAAATGTTGACATAGTTCAAAACAACTCTTCATCTGGAGCTAGACTTTTTATCGCTTCTCACAATACTTTCAAAACAATGTTGATGTAGCTCAAAACAATGTTGATTATGACGATGAAGACGAGACTGAAGTACCTACCCCAACGGGTAGAATCGATAATGTTTCCGATGAAGAGACTGATTATGATGATGACGATTCTGATTATGATACTGATGAAGAAGACATTGAAGTATATGATGAAGATTCTGATTAAAAAAATCAAATGTTTTTTTTGTAATAGAAAATTTATTTGAAATGTACCTTTAATTCATATTGTTTGTCTAACTTTTATTTATGTTGTTTGTCTATATTGTATATCTTACAATTTCGCAAGGTAACTAACTTTTATTCATATTGTATTTATATATTGTACATCTTGTAATTTATAGGCTACAGATGAGGTTTACATGGGCGATACTCTTGGCTATGATGGCCGATGTTATGGGGCTTGGACATGGAGGTGATGGAGCCGGGGATCCACCACCTCCAGTAGGCTTTGGTCGTGGTCAGCACGAACAAAATGGTGAGTTTTATTATGATATATTTATTAAATATTTTTATTATTTTATAATAAGTTATCGTGACTAATGTTTTTAATTGTATTTTTTCAGCCGAACTTCCAAAAAAAAGAAGGGGCATGTCAAAAAATATCGAGCTGGGAAAGTTGATACGGGCAAACAAGGGAAAGCCCGTGGATTTGGATTTCGACAGGGAGATCACATATTCCCCTGTCGGGAAGCGTGGTAATTGCTTCACACATGAAATTGGGAGGTATTTGTGGAACAACGTCCCTTTGAACGTATCTGGTTGGGACAATGTTTCTCCCGCCTGAAGGAATGCAACAGTTGTGCATTTAAAGGTAACTTGGATACAATTTTAAGTTTAGTTGTGATTGTTATTTAATTAACTAAATTTTTTGTATTTTGCAGAATAAATTTGATTTGGATAAGGTTAACATGGATAAGAAGCGTGCTCAATTGTTGCGGAGCATTGATTCGACTCTTGCAAAAGTTTACAGAGGCCGAAAAAGTAAAGGTCATTCTTATTTTAAGGAAATCGGGGGGCCTGCAGATATCCCAACCGCATTAAACAACCCCCCCCTGATGGTATGTCACGTGAAAATTGAGCGAAGGCAGTCGAACATTTTCAAACGCTAGAATTTTTAAGGCGTTCGGCGTCAAACAAAGAATGTCGTGCAAAACAAGTAGTTGTAAACAGAGGGGGGTCGAGCTCATACAACAATGCTTGTTTCAAAGAAGTAAGTTATGATATATTTAAATATTTATTTAAAGTATAAGTAAACTAATTTTTAATGTTAAATAGGATATTAGTCGAATTGAAGTTTTTCGTAAGGCTAATTCCAATCGACAAGGGGTATTTTATAGCCCTGCTGCAGTCGAGCAACAATACGTAAGTGGTTAATTTATATTTTCATATAAGTGTTTATATCGTCAAGGTTATTTAGTAATCTAATTTTTATGATTTTTATTATTTTTTGAAAATACAGAATGCTTTACTCCAGGAGATCAACCAACGAACCCAAGCTACTTCTGAAGAAAGCGGTCTAACACCCACTGATATAAAAAACTGTTTTGAAATAATATTGGGTGTTTGACGCGGACATATAAGAGGCATTGGGCGTAAACCCCCAACCGTTGTGTCCATGTACGATCAGGAACAACCAGTGACACAAGAACAACCGCAATCACAGGTAATTGTTAGTTTAAGTTGAAAAGTATAATGATATAATGGAAAATACAATGCTATAATGGAAAGTAGAATTCTATAATGATATGTTGGTTATTATTTGATATGTTGATATTTTGTAGATTGGTATAATTATAATGCTATTATCATATGTTGGTAATATATTTTGTTTTCTTTATAGTTGGAAATGCTGCAAACAATACTAAAGGACCCAGCCTGTTCTGCAGCATTGGAAGAGTGGTTTCGCTCATTGCCGCCACCCAATAATGAAGGAAATGATGATGACGAGTAGTTACTTTAGGATTTTATGAAATGTTTTGTAATTTGGAAGAATACTTTAGAATGTGGTATGGATTAATATTTTGGATTGGTTGTGTATGGATTAATATTTCTATAAAAAGTTATCAGATTTTATAAATGCTATATTGTTTTTTTATAAATTTAACGTTAAATAAATAAATAAAATAAAAAATTTTTTAAAAAAAAAACCAAAACTGTATTAGTGGCGACATATATGTATTAGCGGCGACACATCATTAGCCGCGACGGTCAACCTTTAGCGGCGACTCTAGGTGTATTAGCGACGAGGTATTACCGGCGACGCATTTGCAGCGACGTGTCGCCGCTAAAGGTATTAGCGGCGACATCCCGAACCTTTAGCGACGATAGAGGTCGCCGCTGTTGCCCAGTCTTCTTGTAGTGTATATGATCTTGTATTTACGTAATTATCGTATGCTTTATAAAATGAATTATAAGTAATTTAGACATCATATTTTTATCATTGTACAAAAACTAAATATATAAACAGTTAACTTACTTGAGGACGTAGTATAAATGTAATTACAAGAAAATTAAGACTCATGATCAACAAGAAAGTTAAGACCCATGACAAATAGCAGCCATAGACCACGAGTGTAAAAAAAATAAATTACTTGAGGACTATACATGAAATACAACTATAATGCGATAAACAAATATCAATGCAGATCAACAAATAACTTAAATGCTTGATTAAGTAGTGATAAACACATATATGTAGGTTTATATTTTTAAAAGTAAATTACAGTTTTGGTCATGTGATTTTCAATTTTTGAATCGAGTACCTAAACTAATTTTCTCATTTCTACGTAACTGTTTTTTTTCTTTTCCAAACTCTCTCAACCTGACACTTTTTTTTTTGCATAACAAATCTTCTTTTTGTTGCAAAATTGGTTTTTAACATCCTATAACAAGAAAAACCCTTAAAATTTTTATAATAAAAATTCATTATTGCAGTGATATGAACAAAGTCATAGTAAATATAAACAAATTAGCGTTATATAAAAAACAATTGCACATTTGTACAATATATTAATTTTTAAGTTATAATATTTTTTTTGGGATCATACAAAAGGTAAATTGCGCAACAACTAATAATTTCGTAGTTGGTCGATTGGAAAATTGGGCATTATTTTTGGAAATAGTAAAAAAAAGTCATCCCCCTTATTGATTTGTTTTTGTCTCTCTTGTATTGATTATTATGATATAAATCATAAACAATTTCACAGTATAATATTGGTAAAGATATATGTGTCCATGTTCTTCACTGATGTCGTATGTCATCATTGACCATAACCGTATCTTCTTGGTAATCCACTATATTAAAAATATGCAGATAATGTTTATACAATCAAAGTGGACCCAAAACTCTTAATTAGGTCATCCGATTTGTTGGGTTAATTAGTGTCGTTGTCATGTTTCTGAATATGCTTCTTAATTGCTTGTATGCACAGCTAGCTCCTCACTAAAGTGTTTGCTAATCAAATTTTGTTCTTCAAAATACTACATCACATAAATAACTCTTAAGAGTTGGATGACAATGGATGGTCAATCCACTGGAAAATTTTTGCTCCTATTGATCATATGGCTTCCCAGGAACAATATTATTTTCAAGAAACTGGAGACAAGGAAAGAATCATTTTTTATTTTTATTTTGATGTAGTTATTCCGTTCGAGAAATTAAATTGCTTACTACTTTTTATACCTACAAATGTTCCTACCCAATAAAATTATGACAAGTGTTATCATTCCATATTTTGTTAAGTAACTCATTAAGACTATATTAGCGGTATCAGGTGGTGCCCTCCCTCATTGAGGTCGAGGGTTCAAGTCTCGTGGTGGACATAGGTGAAATTAAGTGTTATTTTAGGAGTAGATTATAATATTTGTATTTGCCGGTTCAAAAAAAAAAGGAATATATCAAATAAAATAAAATTGAATGGTGATTTGTCATAATTTTAGTGAGTAAGAATAATTGTAGGCATAAAATGTAGGAGGTAATTTAATTTCTCATTCCGTTCACTTCGATTTCGAGTCGATGTAAAAAGTTAATGGCGGATTGGATGGATTGACTTAAAAGTCCTAATTTGAATCTTTGTGCTATTGACCTTTGATTTTGAGGAGAGATTTTTCGCTATATAGTTTGTTGTAAGTTCAATCAAAAAATTTAAACATTACATTTCACATTCGGTCCTATAAATAGCTATATACATTGGAATCTTCTTTCTCTTCGTTCCACAATCACTCTTTTCAATTTTGGAAAGTTAATATTGGACTCCACATTACCATAAAATATTAAATTATAATTCTTCAATTAACAATAGATCTATTCCGAGTTTTTATAATAAAAACAATATATATACACCACCTAACGAATCATATAGACCACCTAACAAATTTATATAGACCACCTAACCAAACGTATTTGTTTTCTTAGTGATTTTTAATAGAAAAATGAATATTAAGACATGCATATTCAATCAAAAAAGAATCACGTGATCGAACAGTAGTTTAAAAAATCTTATGAGTAGATAGATAATATTTGTTGACACGATTATTAGGTGGTGCATGGAATCAAAGGGAGGATGTCTATATATAAGATCGTAACGATGTGAGCTAGCAATTCTCATTCAAGTTCTAGAGAAATATGGCAGTGGCTACTAAAACAGTGCAAATTAAGATCAAGTCCAACGGTGATGTTTTTCACGAGTTATGGAAGGCAAATCCCCATGAAGTTCCCACTATAACCCCAACTACCATCCAAAACTGTCAAAGCCATGAAGGCGATGTTGGAACCGTGGGCTCTGTGCTTTTCTGGAACTATTTTCATGGTAAATTAAAACAGATATATATGCCCCTAAAATCTTTCTTTATGATGAACTGTTAGCTACAAATTTGATGTAGTATATAGTAGATCAGCGTAGACTTATTTCTTTGTCGATACAAATACACTTGAAATAAAGTTTTGGATGATATTTTGTTCTAGATGGAAAAGACCGTGTTGCAAAAACCCTAATCAAAGAAATCGACGAGGGCAAAAAGTCTGTTACCTTCAAGGTACTTGAAGGTGATCTCCTCGAATTATACAAGACCTTTGTTATACATGTTCATGTAGGCACGGATGGTTTAAACAACCTTGTCACGTGGACTGTGGAGTATGAGAAGCTAAGCCCTAATGTTCCTGATCCAGATACGCTTTTGGAGTTTTACAAGACGGTCACCAAAGACATAGAGACTCACCATCTCCAAAACTAATCAAAGTCTCCATATCTAGAATTAAATAAACCAAAATCTAGACAGCACCAATATGGATGGCATTTAATAATTGATTTTGGATGTTTAGATATATGTTGCATGCGCTATCTTGTTTTATGTTATGTTTATTGGTTGTGTTATATGTAAAAAAGGGTGTTGTTTTAATTAAGCGCAATAATTTTATATATATGCTAAAGTTTAATTAATTATGTAGCAAACTATTATTAGAAACTAGTAACACGCTATGACTAAGCATTAAGCAACACTCAAATCCTGTCTCTCATGCCATCTACCGACTGATTAATGATGGATCGAACTATTTCCATGTTGGTAACTTTTAGCGATGAAATTAGTGATGGCCAGGAGGCCCAGGACGAACGCTTCTATTGTCACTAATTATCCAAATATTTGGAAATAAATTTGTTTGCAACTTAACACTGATGTATATTTTGTCGCTAAACACCAAAAGGCTCGATGATGTTTCGGCACAAATTTATTGATGATATAAGCATTTTGTGATGGAATTTTCTGCCATCATTAAATTTTTTCATGCTTAGTTGGTGCAAATATGTCATTTCTTCCCTTTTTTGCAAGCATGTTTATGATTTAGCTATAGATTTTCCATTGCTATTTTTGTTTAAAATTTTGTAATAATGGGAACTAAAACGACTCCATTAGAAGAAAGCATAAAAAGGAGAGAGAGAGAGAGAGAGAGAGAGAGAGAGAGAGAGAGAGAGGAGCACCCATGGCGCCATGCTGGTGTCATTAACATGAAGGTAGTTTTGTCTTGTTTGTGTTCATGTGGAGATGGGAGAGGGAAACAAGGCCTAAGGCAAGTCATAGTGTTTTTTGATGGTTGTCGGTGGGTGCAACAAGTGGTGGTGGCCATATATAGTTATCAACTTGTGACTCGACTCATAAGAGTACTGACACTAGAAACAATATAACAAAAAATTCTATAACGATCATGTATAAACAAAATATAAGCATATTCTATAACGATCATGTATAAACAAAATATAAGTTGACTATTTAAGCATATTCATTAATATGTTAGACATTCGTTACACTACTAGAAAAAGAGGAATCAACGACAGAATCAGCGACAGAACTATTCCTTAGCTAATCTGCGATGGATTTGCAAGGGATCAGCGACAGAAAACACCATGATTTCTATTCCGTAAATTCAAGCCATTTACCAAGGGATTAGAGACGGATTACCGACAGAATCAACGAAAGAATACATCCCTTGCTAATCTGTCTACTACTAGAAAAATACCCTTTAATGACACGCATTGCGTATCATAAAAGGGTATAGATTAAACGTAAATGTGTGTCAAGGAAGGTCATGTCATAAAAGAAGACGACACGCATTTGTGTGTCGTAACCTTACGACGCGTATTTACGACACACATTTACGACACACAATGCGTATCATTAAAACGCCTATCAAGAAAGTCCATGTCATAAATAAAGATGACACACATTTTTGCGTATTGTAAATTTAAATGTATTAAAAAAATATTTATAGATTTACTAATTTTCAAATTAAATTTGCATTTAATGTCTTATAATAGAAAACAAAATATCATATAAAAAAATACAATCTATTGCATAAAAGTTAATGTCATACAAATAAACGTTCCAATAGTAGACAAATGTAATACATCAAATGTGAAAGAGATGAAAGTCATCAAAAATAATAGTCGAACTACCAGAACTCGTTTCCCACCTTCACAACATCCGAGCTACTTTACTTGACACTATGCACATCAACAAGACCTACAAATTTAAATAATGCAACCATCAGATTCACATAAACCAACAAATCCAAAGATGTTAGTAGTCATGGAAGCTGCATTGTATGTCAATTTTTTTTATCAGGGAGTGTGAATAAATCTTCATAATACATATCGAAGATGTTAGCCAAGCATATCTGAAAATAAAACTAAGTTATATCTTGCATATATCTTGATGTATACGAGATGTAAGGGCTGAAGACATTAAGTCAAAGACATTAACATAACTTCACAAAAACAGACATTAAGTCTCATTGACTTACATGTTTGATGTTACATAACATACTCCAAAAAAGGCAATGTACTTTAGAAATATAGAATATATTCCAATAACAATCTGTTATTGGTCATTGTTTCAATATTTACATGAATTTTTAAATGACATCCCACAGTAATCAGTAGCAATGGGCTTCTAAGGGAAAAAGGTCATTTTAAAAAAAAAAACTTAGTAGAACATTTAACAACAATGAACCAAAATTGCAACAAAATAAAACCATAAGGGCCACCATGAAAGTAAAACAAGAATTAGAATGAACCTAGATGTTGGTGTACCTTGGAAAACCCTTTACCTATATGTTCATAGCCCATTCCTACAATACAAAAAATAATGTATCATATTTATTTCAATTGCCCAAAATCAAGAAATCTTCAATAAATTTGATGTTTTTGAACTTGAACCTGTTGATATTCAAGAAGGGGATAAACATTACCAATAAATATTGACTCTCGCGTTGTATAAGCCACTTAATCCAGGTATTTACCAAGAAAACTATCAAAAAAGGGTATAAGTGGAAAGACCAAAAATATAAAGATGGTTTTTTGAATTTGTGCAAGATAACATGCCAACATGCACCACTAATGTACACCTTGGATCACCCAACAAGTTTATTGTATGTATATCTAATGGAGAAAAATTACTCAAATCACGGTTAATATAAATAAAAAGTTACTCAAATCGTAAAAGAATTTAGCGCCTTCATATCGAGCTCTGCATTGAAGAAAATTACTCAAATCACCGGTTAATATAAATAAAAAATTAAAAAGAAAAAAATAGAGAGCAAACAAATCTAAGTACAACCTTATTTCTTTTTGCAACAAAATGAAATATGGTAAGAGGTTTCCCTCATTGTCTGTCATTACAATGTACTTTTGATGCTTCTGCATAACCTGTAGGAGAAAAAAAATTAGTAAAAAAAAAAAAGCTAAACCATCAGACATATTGCTTTTATTTGCATTTGATTATATTGAATCATACCATTACTAACAGATCTTTAGGCAACACTAAAAAAGACTGAGAATTTTCCAAGTACAGGAACAGGTGCCAACAAGGTTTACGACCTACATTTATTACAAACACTTTTTGTAAAAAAAAAATTGGAAAGGCTTGCCATGTGATTGTAAAGGGTATTTTGGTCATTTACCTCATGAAGTCACCACAAGCCAGAACACCTCTGAATTGATGCAACAAGAGAGCACAATGCAGAAGCAAGAGTTGGTTATTATGAACTTAGGGCCCTGCACAATGAACCCAACATCAAAACTATTAAAGGATATTGAATCATATATGTGTTATTGTATAGTTACTAACAGTAAAAAAAACATGCCTGATATATGGAATCATATATATGTTATTATACAATTAATAAAAGTAAAAAAACACCAAAACTATATCTTAAATAACAAAAAATAAACAAAACCAACAATAACTACCAGTATATCGTTTTCTAGTAAAAACAAGTTTATATGTGAAGCATGATTTCCAGAAATATTAACCTTAAAGTTGATAACCAATTGTTTTGTTTTAATTTCAAATAAGGTAATTATAACATTTTAGTTATGCATTTACATAAAAAAGAGCATTATTGAGATATGCTGACAAATCTTATCAGTGTTATAATGAACTTCCAAGTTCAAAAGTATACCATTTATGAATAGGATCACATAATTTACAGAAGAAAGGTCTAAAAGAAGGAAAAAGACATCTACAAAGGGACTCAACAAGACAAACAAACAATCTAACTTTGTGAATCTAAAAAAAATGTTATTGCTTAGATATCCATAACCCAAAATTTGACAACAGGAATAACTACGAGAAAACACAGACTACAATAAATAGTAAATGGAATTACTAAGCGAAGTAAGTGTGCCCCAAATAACCGCAACCTAAAATCTGTTGGAATCAGGCCCTGTATACACACTTCTTTGTAGCAACAAACACAACACTCAATATGTGATTTTCAGGAAGAGAAGTAAAGAGGAGAAGAAAAATCGTGATGCAGGAAAACGGCTGCACATCTTCTATTCAGAAAAATAAAGAAAAGGCTTTTTATATAGCCTACAAAACCTACTGGACCCAAACAACTATCATATCCACGTTTTCCACTTTTCCTCACCAAACCTAACAGTTCTAAAGCCTCAAAAGACTTGGTCCACATGACTCATTCAACTCAAGACCCACTACTATTTATTTAATTAACTAAGTAAAACAAATACTAAATTAAAACTTTAATAATCTGTCAAGATTAACCTAACATTCACCCCCTTAATCTTGACTCGTTTCTTCATCAAAGTAGTGTCGGTTCTTCATCTTCAATCAAGTTTGCTTCTTTATCATTGTCTTTATCATTCCACTTTGTGCACTCATAGCTAAAATGTCCAAAGTCTCCACAGTTAAAGCACCGGAAGCTATTTTTGTCACCTCGACCTCTTCCTCTTCCTCGACCTCTTCCACCTCTTTCATAGTTCCTTCCACGCCTTCTTCCATGTCCACTACTATCATCATGCCTTGGTTCACTTGCCATCATGAGTTGACCTTGCTCTTCTTCCTTTTCTTCATGACTTTGAAGCCTTTCTTCATAGGCTTTGACCCTTCCAACCGCTTCTTCAAATGTAATAGTTTCAAGATCAGAATATTGTTCAATTGGAGCTACAATTGGCAAGTACTTCTTTGGAACTGAATTGAGAAACTTCCTTACAATAACCTCCTCTTCAAGAGTTGAACCAAGACTTTTGAACTTGGCAACAATACAACTTATTTTGCCCGAAAAGTCATTGATTGACTCATTGTCCTTCATCTTAAGCATCTCCAATTCATTTCTTAAGGTTTGCAGCCTTGCCTTTTGCACCCGTTCGGCTCCAATATACCTAACCTTGATTGATTCCCAAACATCTTTTGCATTCTTGTGTTTAGCAACCTGTAAA